AAAACTTCATAAAACTTTTTCAACATTATAAGCTTTCAATTCCACAAATATTTATTTTTCTCAAAAACAGTATTTGTTGAGTATAAGTTATGTATATAAAACACCAAAGTCAAACAAATACATCAATAAATAGTAAATACATGAACATAATTAATATACCTCATAGAATATGGTATTTATATTATTATTAATGAGTCTTAACAGGTATAGATCACATAGCCCAATCATCTCTTAATTTGAATTGTCGTAATTAATTATAGGTTAAGTTAAGTTTTTGCTAGTCAACATTAATTATTTCACCAAATGGATCGAGACAAAGCCCCTAACAAGGATCATTGCTCAACGAACAGAATGTTTGGTTTGGAAGAATGTAGTATATCGATTTAGGGTGTTGCATATTATTATCACAGATAATGAGAGGTAGTTTATAGAAAAATAATGATTAGTCGAATTTTATGTTGACTTTGACATCAAACACATAATTAATGACCTGAGTGGAACATCCTCCATATAATGGTGAGTTGAGGCCGCCAACAAGGTCATCATTGTAGAATTGAGAAAGAGGCTAGATTTGGCCAGAGGGTTTGCTAAAAGTGTTGTGGACCTATATGTGCACTCATCGTTCTTTAACTAATTAAACGTCTTTAGCTAGTATATGACATTAATGTCATGATCCCTGTAAAAACCGGGGAGTCGTCTCCTCGGTAGGAACAATTTGAGGAATAACGTAATGGATGTTACCTCGACACTAGCCTACACTCATTAGTTAAAAAAAATGAGAAAAAACTCATATTTATGAAACGATTGTCAAGAATAGGGCATTCAAGAAATACAATTCCAAGTTACAATCTAGATAAAAAAAAGGTGATCTAGTATGGCACATGACAAGCAATGTCAAAGAAAGTGACAACAAGGTCTCCATCAATTGGGAGGGACCATTCTAAGTGGTTAAAGATGTCAACAAATGTGTCTACCTCCTATAATGTTTATCAAGGCAACTGATACCTAATGTTTGGAATGTAAAAGGAGACACCCCATCTCTTCGTAACCATCATTGACTTTTTCTTCTACATGGATGTCTCCGATCGTTACCAATTCACTGGTTGCCTTAGCAGTTGTGATATCATCAACATCCGTCACACGACCTTCATATATGTTTGTATTGAAATCAAACTTGACATTCTTGAAGAGACCTTTTTGTAAATGAACTTTGCTTGCCCAAGCGTCTTGTTGAAGCTGTTGCTAGTGGTATCAAAATGGGTTAAAATCCACAGACCAATTTGACTTACTATGGGTCCAGGTTGGTGAATTGTTGGGTTCTTCGTGGGTGTGGATGAGGTTCATAACGATGATGGGGTGATGAATCATAGTTTATTGTTATTTTGTTGCTACGGATTTTGTTGAAGCAGTGCCACATGTGGATAAACAACGCTTGTTTGTGGAGAGATTCTGATTGACGTGTGAGATTTCCCGCTCATGATTTGAAAACACGAGTAACTAGCTTGTGTGCAAAACAAAGTCAGTGTTACTACTCTTGATTTATCCCTTAACGTGTATATGCAATAACCCTAAGTGTTACTTTGACTTGTTATAAGAAGAAAGTTATAATATGTTAAAAGTTGTCTATGGCAATATTAAAACAATTTAGTTTATATAGTAGAGAACGTTTGGAGTTTATTTTCTTATAAACAACTTTAGAATTGATTTTCTTATAAACAATTTTAATATAATAAACTTATTTATTTGCCAGTTTTTTCATTCTTTTTTTATTTGTTAATATTGTTAGCTGAATTTTGGTTAATTATTTGTTTTTTTAATAAATATTAGATTTCATTTCAATAACAAATAAAATCATACAAGTAGTAAATTATATTAAAAAAATTATTTCATACTAAATTACAAATTTTTTACATTTTTAAAATTAATTTTAATAATTAATTTTAATTTTTCTCTCTTTATAAACATTTTTATAATAAAAGAAAAATTAACAATTACCATTTTATATTACTTTAATAACTATGAGTATTTTGGTAATTTTTAATTTCTGCCAATTACACAATTTTTTTTAATTTGTCATATCGGTAAAATTTTACACTAATTTTTCACAAACTTTACTTCCAAATTTATTCTCACTTACCTCAAAATCCACTCAAACAAATAACAATAAATTTACTCTCAAATCCCCTCAAATCCATCTACTCACTATCCCAAAATCATCCCCAAATCATTCCTCTAAAATAAACCCACCCTTATAAGTTACAAGATTAATTTAATAAGTCTAAAATAAAGGATAAGATGATATGGGTTTAACTCCCTCCACTGATATCCACTAACATAATACTAAAAAAAACCTAAGATGAATATAAATGATAAATAAATCGAGAGAAAAAAGAGGTTAAAAATCTAATCAATTTAATTCCTATAAATTCTCATTACACATACATGTAATTTCAAAAAATTGGAAGGACCACAACATCCTCAACCTTCTCAAGGATTTGTCCACGAAAGATGGACTAAAATGATATTTATAGATAAATATTAATGTTTTCGACATAAATTGAACTTGTAAATTGTAATTATTTATTTATTTTATTATACTCTTCACACATTTTGCATGAATTATGTGATAATAATAATTACATATATAATTTAATCGAAATAGAGATAATTTTGTTAGTTCAAGCAAATGATGTTGCATTTGGTTATTGAATCACACTACTTTAAATCAAGTTTAAACTTTCATTATTTTTTATGATGATTAGTTTCAACAAAACACACACACACACACACACACATATATATATATATAATTAGTATATAATATATATATATCTATTATCTATATATAATATTAGGTAAATGAAGAAGTTAATTAAAGTTCACAGCTACAATTAGTGTGGAATTGCAAAATTTACATTATATATGCACATGCATTAGTGTGGAATTGCAAGCTTTAGATTATGCACATGCAAACTATTTAGTGTAATATTATATGGTTTTAGTAGGTGTCAAAAATTGAAGAATAAATGGGTGTTAATTAGTAAATTATGAAAATTGAAGTGTCTTCGAGTTTAGTGGAAGGATTTAGAAGTTTGATTCATGGGGTATGTAAATATTTAAATGAATTAAATATATTTTTGGTTAATGTTAATGTGAAATTAAAATATTTTACTCTTCAAAATTTTAATACATTTTCACCTCGTAACTTTAAAAAATAAATATTATTTTTAACTTAAAGTTAACCGACTAAGAAAAATATATTAATTTAGTTTTAAAAGTTTAATAATTAGACTGTAATTAAATTTTTTAATAAATATAAATTTTTAATTTTGTATTTAATTTTTTTGACTAAAAATATATTTGAATTTATTTAAATTAATATGACTAAATGTAATATTCATCCTTTTTTAAAACAACTTTAAGTTGGGAAAAATATATTTGAAAAATATTTTTAAAACTTATTTTATACATACATTTTTTTAGATGATATATTTTCTTCAAATTTTCTTGATGTGAGGATTCAATGTCATGATGTAATTTATGGAACCTTTTTTGATATTATAAGCAATGTGATGATATTATTTTCTTAAACTAAGAGGTGAGAAATTTGTATATCAACAAGAATAGTTAATAACTTTTTAAGACAATGATACATATTTAATGAAAATATGAATAAAATAAAATAATTATAATATATGTAAGTTATGAATAAATTTACGTTTACTCCTTTATATTATTTTATTACATGAAAAATATCATGATTATACATATATAAACATGGTAAGTAATTATTGAGAGTCAAACGCTGAATAGTATATTTATATGGAATATTGGAATTATAAATATTCAATATTTCAATTTTTAAAGTTAACTTTTGTTTTTAAATAAAGTTATTGACTATAATAGGATTACTTTGCACTTGGCATTTTTCATCGATGTCGTACTAAAAAATATTATTTATTTTCATATTTAGAATTATCTGAATTCTAACTTTATTGCAATTACATTGGACTAAAATAACCTTGTTTTTACAAAATTTGTAAAAGGTAGTTATTTCTAGAAAAAAATTATTTTATCAAAAATATCTCCTTAATTACTGCATGAGTTATAAAAATGGTTTTAAAATCTTACCTTTTTTTTTTAAATTGTACGCCATATTTTGATATTTTGATTTACAAATATGCGTAATATTTTTTTTCATTATATTTATGTAAGTTTTGTGGTGCAACCAATGAAAAAAATATAAAATAGTAACATACTCTCGGTGCTGGTGTGGTGGCGTTGGCTAAAACGACGTCGTGGGAGGTGGAGTGTACGCGCCACGCTGTGACAGTGCCACCGAGGAGCGTGGCTAGTTCAGTTCGGTTGGACGAAGGAAAGTGACCACCATCAAATAAAATTTTATTTAAATATTAAAAAAGGCAAAGAAAGTTACATATAAAAGCGTCATTTTATTCTGTCCCTTTATTCTTCCATTTCTTTTTCTTTCTTCCTCTCTTACCCATTTTGCCCTGGCTTAGGTTTCCGGCAACAACCTCTTTCGTCCATTACACACAATATCTTTTGTTTCGGTTGATTACACTCCTCCGAAATCTCACTCCACGCCTTGTTTGAAAACCGAGAATCCCCTCATCCTGCAGTTTCTAGGGTTTTCATTTGTGGAAGATTTCGTTCTAACCGACAAAGATTCGATCCATGGTAGGGATTATTGGGCGGATGAAAAAGCGTGATTTGGACCTCGGTGGCGAGCTAGTTTGAATAGACCTGCGGGTTGGGTGGATTTTGTATGGAAACACTGGAGCCGGAAGCGGGCGGAGGCTTTCCTCAGCTGCCCCTTCATCCCCTCCTCTGGTCCCACTACCCGTTTCCAGCAAGCGTGCGCGTCTCTCTTCTTTCTTCCTCTGCTTCCGCCGCCGCAACCACCACCCAGGCATCTCTTCTTCGTTACACTCGCTCCCCGTGCATCAGAACTAAGGAACAACCCTTACCTCCGAAGAAATCTCCTCCCATGGACTCTGCCAATGAATCATCTGGTTCCCGACGTGATCGCGCAGCAAGGACACTCCGACAAGGGTAAGGAAAAAAGAACACGATGTTAGGATTAGGGACAGAGATGCTTGACAGAGGGCTGGACATTGAACATGGAATGGTGGTGCAGAAGATGATGATAATGACAGTGAAAGGTGGTGTGGGGATTTTGCATCAAAATTTGACCTCTGCGAGTAGTGCAACTTCAGGGGCTGCCTTGGAAGCTTGGTGCTGGGTTGGATGATCTGCTTCCCATCTTCTGCCATGGGTTCTGCATCTTCCTCTCACCAGAACGGGAGGCTGAAAAAGATCCTTTTTTGGGTTTTGCGAGCGGAGGGCGAAGAAGGGCGGCAGGTTGAAGCGCTGACGCAACTCTGTGAAATGCTTTCAATTGGGACTGAAGAATCGCTTAGTACATTCTCAGTTGATTCGTTTGTTCCTGTGCTTGTGGGTTTGTTGAATCACGAGAACAATCCCGACATCATGCTTCTTGCTGCAAGAGCATTAACCCATCTCTGCGACGTGCTACCTTCATCTTGTGCTGCGGTTGTTCATTATGGTGCAGTTTCAATTTTCTGTGCGAGGTTGCTCACCATAGAATACATGGACTTGGCTGAGCAGGTTGTTCTTTAGTTCATGCCTATTGTGGGACTAATGAAAATCGGTGTTTAAAACTTGTAAAACAAATATTATTATGCTTCAATGTTGAATCTGGTGCTGCCTAATTGCTTTTAAAATTATAGATTATAGTCTCCCAGGGTCATATTTTCAGTTGGAGAAGAAATTTTCGTTTTTTTTATCGGTGACAGCATTTTGAAATGGAAATTCTTACATTTTGATTACTTTGTTTGATGGCATGAACAGTCCCTTCAAGCTCTGAAGAAGATATCTCAGGAGCATCCCACTGCCTGCCTACGAGCAGGTGCTCTTATGGCCGTGCTTTCTTATTTGGACTTCTTTTCTACAGGAGTTCAGGTAAATTGTCAGTGAAGGACTTACATTTAGTGTATGATTATAGTTTTGTTCTTTTGGACAGTCATAGTTCATTTGGCCACTGGTTCTTTAAGTGGCATGTGTAAGTTGACATTATTCTTCGTTTCAGCGGGTTGCATTGTCTACTGCTGCAAATATGTGCAAGAAACTTCCTTCAGATGCGTCTGATTTTGTGATGGAAGCTGTTCCTCTTCTCACAAACCTTCTTCATTACCATGATGCCAAGGTATGGTCATGTTTCGTTTTCAGTCTTGTCACGTAATGGAATCTGTATTTTTGCATTTTTCGTCCATAAATTTTCCTTTTAAGGAAGTTTACCTCGATAGGTGGGAAATTTTGATAATTATATTCTATATTCTATATTATAAATTATTTGTCTGTACTTTCACCTTATGCATTGCCAATTTTTGTAGGTTCTAGAGCATGCCTCTGTTTGTTTGACTCGAATAGCTGAAGCGTTTGCGTCATCACCTGACAAATTAGATGAATTGTGCAACCATGGACTGGTAACACAAGCTGCCTCCCTCATCTCTAACAGCAGTTCTGGAGGTGGTCAGGCTTCTCTCAGCACACCGACATATACGGTAAGTGTAATTTGTGCTTCAAGTCTCATGCATTTTGCCTGTAGTTGTTGGTCCTTGACTTGGGTATATGCAGGGTTTAATCCGACTTCTTTCAACTTGTGCGAGTGGATCGCCTCTTGGAGCTAAAACTTTACTACTACTCGGAATTAGTGGTATTCTTAAAGATATTCTATCTGGTTCTGGAGTTTCTTCTAATGCCTCTGTTTCTCCTGCATTAAGTAGGCCCCCGGAGCAGGTATGGTTTAACTTCAGAACTCTTCCTTTTTTGGTCATTCACGTTTAGTTTTATATCGTAAGGGTTCATTTATCAGACTCTGACCTGACCTCAATGCACCATTATTTAGAGCCTTGATATTTCCAGTTCTGTTCCATTTCTGAAGAGAAGAGATTATTCTAATTATCTGTTCCAATATATAGATATTTGAGATTGTAAACCTGGCAAATGAGCTTCTTCCCCCATTGCCACAAGGAACAATTTCTCTCCCTATCATCTCCAACATGTTTATGAAAGGGCCCATTATAAGGAAGTCTCCCGCTGGTAGCTCTGGAAAACAAGAAGATTCAAATGGAAATGTTACTGAGATATCAGCCCGTGAGAAACTATTAAATGACCAGCCTGAACTTCTTAAGCAATTTGCTATGGATCTTCTACCAGTTTTAATACAGGTTGACATTTTTTGAATTGATCAATTGCTTATATTTTGCTTCATAGATTTCTTAAATTAAAAACTAGTTGAGATAAATTGCTCCATTGCTTCCTTATTTGTTTTTGGTTTAATTGATCGTATTGGCTTGCCTTTAATTCAGATATATGGTTCTAGTGTCAATGGTCCTGTTCGGCACAAATGTCTTTTTGTCATTGGAAAATTGATGTATTTCAGCACAGCGGAGATGATCCAGTCTTTGTTGAGTGTGACCAATATATCAAGGTATGTAGACCTTTAATGGTGTTGATATTACTTAATATCCTAACTGATTTTGTGGGTTCAAAGAATTTATGCATTTTCTATTTGATTAGTTTCTTAGCTGGGGTCCTAGCATGGAAAGATCCACATGTGTTGATTCCTGCCTTGAAAATTGCTGAAATTCTTATGGAAAAGCTTCCTGGGACATTCTCCAAGATGTTCATCAGAGAAGGTGTTGTGCATGCAGTGGACCAACTTATTTTACCCACAAATTCAACCAATATCTCTACTCAGGCATCTTCTGCTGAAAAGGATAACGATTCTATATCTGGAGCATCATCTCGCTCTAGGCGTTATCGGCGACGCAGTGGAAGCTCCAATCCTGATGGTAATCCTTTGGATGATTTGAAGGCTCCTGTTTCAGTGAATGTCGGCTCACCTCCAAGTTCTGTGGATATTCCAACAGTAAATTCCAGTATTCGCATGTCTGTTAGTGCAGCCGCAAAGGCTTTTAAAGATAAGTACTTTCCTTCGGATGCTGGGGCGTCTGAAGTGGGTATTACTGATGATCTTTTGAATCTGAAAAATCTTTGCATGAAGCTAAATACAGATGCGAATGAAGAAAGGACCAGTGGAAAGGGGAAATCTAAATCTTCTGGATTTGTTCTAGAAGAGTATTTAATTGGGGTCATAGCTGACATGCTAAAGGAACTTGGCAAAGGTGATGGTGTATCTACATTTGAATTTATTGGCAGTGGTGTTGTTGCAGCTTTGTTGAATTATTTTTCCTGTGGGTACTTCTCTAAAGAGAAATCCTTAGAAACCTGCTTACCACACCTTCGCCAGCAAGCACTTACAAGGTTTAAGTTATTTATAGCTGTTGCACTACCTCCCTCAACTGAAGTTGGGACTGTGCCTCCTATGACCGTTTTGGTTCAAAAGCTTCAAAATGCCTTGTCCTCATTGGAACGTTTCCCTGTTGTGCTGAGTCATTCATCCAGGTCATCTAGTGGGAGTACACGCCTCTCCTCTGGACTAAGTGCATTATCTCATCCCTTCAAGTTGCGGCTTTGTCGAGCCCAGGGTGAAAAGTCACTTAAGGATTATTCATCAAATGTTGTATTGGTTGACCCATTAGCAAGTTTAGCAGCCATTGAAGAATTTCTTTGGTCTCGTATCCAACGAAGTGAATCTGGTCAGAAGTCCACTGTACCTGCTGGTCATTCTGAATCAACTCCAGGAGCTGGTGTATCCACTCCTTCCTCTACCCGTCGTCATTCTACTAGATCCAGATCATCTGTTAATATAGGTGACACATCTAGAAAGCAAGTATTTCAAGATAAAAGCACTAGCTCTTCTAAGAGTAAGGGAAAAGCTGTATTAAAGCCTGCGCAAGAGGAGTCAAGAGGACCTCAGACCAGGAATGCTACTCGCAGAAGAGCAGCTCTTGATAAAGATGCTCAAGCAAAGCCTGTAAATGGTGACTCTACTTCTGAGGTATACGGATGGAAACTAAGTTAGGGTTAGTTATTTGTAAAAATTAACTGCTTTAGAAATCAGTTCTGTATTATAACTCAAATAACACTTTTAGAGAACAATACTGTGTTAGAAACTGTAGGATGGTAGTCATGCGTAGAAAATAACTGCTGGTAGTTTTTTACTAGGAATTTAAGAGTATACATCTGGTAATATGTTTTGTAATTTGGCAATGTGAAGTCACTTTTAGTTTGTGGATAGAGAATACTTTCTGTTGGAGATTTCTTTCTATGGGACATCAAGTGTATTGCTGACTTTGTATGTGATTGGAGACTTTTGTCTCTGATATAGCAACTGTATTGCTGTATTTGTATGTTATAGAGACTTGTCTCTGGGACAGCTCGTGTATTGATGTTTGTGTGTGATTCAGTGTTATATATTATATTTGTTACTTTATGAAATGGTGTTATATTATATACTGTGAAATCCTAGGTAAGAGTTTGGAATGCTTCAATTTTTTTTATCTGTCAATTTATAACTTACAATTATTATGTTTTTATTAGATGTTTTTCCTTTTTTTTTCTCTCCCGTTCCTTATGATATGTATGACCTGACTAGGTTTTAGTTGTCCTTATTTTGGCTTATAATGTGAAATGTAAGGAGAATACTTAAAAGTGTCTATATAAGATGCAAAGGTGCCATATTGGATTGAAAGACATTGAAATTTTTCTGCTATATGTAACTTTGGACACTATATTTATTTTCTGTAGATCCTTAAAATGTTTTACCTCTGCCATTTAGTTTTATAAAGAGCTTTGGATCATAATTATTTATGATATAATCTCTTACACGAGAAAAACTGCCTATTTGTTCTTTTTAATTTTGCACCATTTATTTCTTTACGAATAGTTCAGTTGTACATTAAAATTAAGCTGTTGTAAGATTCCTTGCCTAAGTTTCGTAGTTACTAAAAAAGTGAGGTAGAGTTAGCATTGAGAGGATAACTTATTATGTTGCATAAGGAGCATTCTTGTAACGGTGTATTTGGGATCTGATCAAATGGGTGCTTCATATACGCTAATCCCCATCCTTTTTTCGTAAAGTGCACACGTCAGGATTTGTTGCATTGTGCCTCTCATAATTTAAAATCAAATGCTTTATACAGTTTAAGTTTGATTATTTTTTTCTGGCATTATGCTTGTCAATTTCAAAGTGCAGTTCAGTGCCCCTTTTAGGGGGAAATGTTTTAGGATGACTTTTGGGCGGGCTTATAGTTTTCCTATTTACGTCATATTTTCTTTGTTTTTTTTTTGATTTTGTTATGACAGTGTTTACATGCATGCTAAGCTTTGGTCTAAATCATGAACCTAATTCAAGTATCCTGAAGTATCTAAAACATTAGTCTATTGCCACCCATCCCCCTCCCCCCCTTTCATTTTTCTGCCCTTCTATTGACATTTTCCAAAACATTGCAGGATGAAGATTTGGATATATCTCCTGTTGAGATTGATGAGGCATTGGTGATTGAAGATGATGATATTTCTGATGATGAAGATGATGACCATGAAGATGTATGTTATATACTGTTCTTCTTTTGCTAATATTATCTTCCTTTCTTAATCATAAGTATCTCATTGGAGTTGAGTGGTTACTGTGCTACTGTTACTTTTTGCTTTCTGTCATCATTCCTTTTTTTTTTTTTTTTTTTTTACATTTTGAACATTGCTTTTGATATGTTAAAATCTATGCATCTTTGTTTTTACTACCAGTGCTGGTGTCCTTCTATCTTGTTTGCAATATTTTCAAAATGAAATGCTGCTCTCTTTCTATCATTTTGTTGAGTATATGACCTTGTCCACGGACGATAATAATGGGAAATATTATACTGTAGGGATTGCTTGAAATTGTGTGTTGTGTACACACGATAATAATGGGAAATATTATATAAGATATTTCCATATCAAATCATATAATGTCTCTGACATTTATCTGGATTGAATGTTAAAATTAAATTCAGTTGTATAATATATTTATGATTTTTACATATTTTGTGTTTGTTTTAATTTTTTTTGTTGCAGGTTCTGAGGGATGATTCTCTTCCTTTGGTGTGCTCTCCTGACAAAGTACATGATGTGAAATTGGGTGATCTGGCCGAGGAAAGTACTGTTGCTCCTGCGACAACTGACGGCCAGACTAATGCTGCTTCAGGTTCTAGCAGCAAAACTGGTACCGTGAGGGGATCAGACTCTACTGATTTTAGTAGTGGCTATACATCAAGCTCAAGAGGTGCAATGTCATTTGCTGCTGCTGCCATGGCTGGACTTGGTTCTGCCAATAACAGAGGTTTAAGGGGGGGAAGAGATCGACTAGGGCGTCCATTATTTGGTAGTTCTAATGATCCTCCAAAGTTGATCTTTACCGCTGGTGGGAAGCTGCTTAATAGGCATTTGACTATATATCAGGCAATTCAAAGACAGCTTGTGCATGATGAAGATGATGACGAGAGATTGGCTGGCAGTAATGACTATGTATCCGGTGATGGAAGCAGGTTGTGGGGTGATATTTATACTATAACTTATCAGAGGTCAGAGAACCAAACAGATAGGACTACCCCTGGAGGTTCAAGCTCTAATGCTTCCAAATCTGGCAAATCTGGATCTGCATCAAATTCTGGTTCTGAAGCCAAGCTACATCAGACATCTGTATTAGATAGCATCTTGCAGGGTGAATTGCCCTGTGAATTGGAGAAATCTAATCCTACATACAATATATTAGCACTATTGCGGGTGCTAGAGGGTTTGAACCAACTTGCCCCTCGATTGAGGGCCCAAGTGGCTACTGATTACTTTGCAGAGGGTAAGATTTTGGATTTAGATGAGCTAAGTGTTAGCATTGGTGCTAGGGTTCCTGCAGAGGAATTTATAAGCGGCAAACTTACTCCAAAATTAGCTAGGCAAATACAAGATGCCCTTGCCTTATGTAGTGGGAGTCTTCCTTCATGGTGTTACCAGCTAACTAAAGCATGCCCTTTCTTGTTTCCTTTTGAGACCCGGAGACAGTACTTCTATTCAACTGCCTTTGGGTTATCTCGTGCACTGTATCGTCTTCAACAGCAGCAGGGTGCTGATGGTCATGGATCAACAAATGAAAGAGAGATCAGGGTTGGTAGATTGCAGCGGCAAAAGGTTCGTGTATCTCGAAACCGCATTTTGGATTCTGCTGCCAAAGTGATGGAGTTGTATTCTAGTCAAAAGGCAGTACTTGAAGTAGAATATTTTGGTGAAGTTGGCACTGGTCTGGGTCCCACCTTGGAGTTCTACACACTTCTCAGTCATGACTTACAAAGAGTTGGACTTCGAATGTGGAGATCAGGTTCTTCAGATAAATATTCAATGGAAATTGATGGAAATGAAAGGAAAATGAAAAGTAGCGATGGCTCTTCTGCTGGAGATGGAGAACTTGTTCAGGCTTCTCTTGGGCTGTTTCCTCGACCATGGCCTGCAAATGCTGATTCATCTGAGGGTACCCCATTTTCTAGAGTTATTGAATATTTCCGGCTATTAGGTCGTGTAATGGCTAAAGCTCTCCAAGATGGACGCCTATTGGATTTACCACTTTCAGCGGCATTTTATAAGCTTGTTCTTGGTCAAGTAAGTTATGGAATGTTGATGTCTTGTCAGTTGTCTGATTTCATGTGTATTCTCGATCTTTAGGATGATTTGTAGTTTGTATATATTTAGCCTTTGATATATTGCAGGATCTTGATTTGCATGACATTCTTTTCATTGATGCTGAGCTTGGGAAAACTTTACAAGAGTTAAATGCCCTTGTTTGCCGAAAACGATATATCGAATCTTTTGGTGGTTCCTATACTGATAAAATTGGTAATTTACAATTTCGTGGGGCTCAAATTGAAGATCTCTGCTTTGACACTACTCTTCCTGGCTATCCAGAGTACATCTTGAAACCTGGAGATGAAATTGTATGTATTCAGTCTTTTTCTCTTTCCTTTTTTTTTTTCGGTTTGGTTCTGATTCTCTCTTATGACAATTTCTTTGAATTTTTTTCTGAGCTTTCAGGTTGACATCAATAATCTAGAGGAGTACATATCCATGGTGGTCGAGGCAACTGTTAAGACTGGAATCTTGCGTCAGATGGAAGCATTTAGGGCAGGGTTCAATCAGGTATAATTGTTGATTTTAATTATATCTTTTAAATTTGACTATGCTTCTTGTTTGAGGATTGTGTGTAAGTTCTTAAACAGTATGTAATGTATTTGTTGTAACTGTGAATAGAATTTTTTGCAATTTCATTGTTGTCTTTTATTATACAGGGTCCATTCTTTTTCCGTTTCCTTTTTTGTTTCTCCCAAACAATTTGTTTGGAAAGGAAATTTGACTGGTGTTTAATTTGGTATTGAACATTAATAGTTCAGCTTTTTTAGATTTTTATGTTTAGATTCTATAGGGCACTTTTCTCTAGTGAAAATTACTACCTTTGTTTTCTCCTAGCCTTTTACTTAGTTTGCTACTTGCCTTGTGTCGTGATATGAATTTGGGTGATATGAATTTGGGTATTATGGGGTGTCCAAGTCTCACATTCAGTAGTATGCGATGTTGGAGAGTATGGTGCTTGGTTCTCCCCCTTAATATCTAGATTTTTTAGGGTGGGTTTCCCGAGTGCTTTGGTACTTATCTCATCATATTAGAACTGATGGTGAGTATCTTGGAAAGGGCTACCTACAATGGGGTTTAACCGGTGAGGGGTTCTGACCAACAAGAGAATTGGGTAACTTGCCTGAGAGAAACATTGGCTCTCGGAAAGAGCTATAATAGGAACTTGGATATTATGGAGCTAAAGACCCCTCAGTGAAGTAGTCTGAGATGTTCAATGGTGTATTGAGTGTTTAGTTCTCTCCCCTTAATAGTTAGCTTTAGAGAGTGGGTTCCCTAAGTGCTTGGGTACTTATCATGTCCCCCTTACCTTTCATATCAAGAAAGGAAAATAAACGTATATATAAGTAAGTTATTCAGTGTAAAAATTTGACAAGTGAAATCAGCTGATAGGTCCTTGTGTGTGAGAGATAGGCTGAGCAATAGTTGGACCATGAAAAAACTAGTTGGATATTGTATTCATATCCTTATGTTGAAAAACTAAACATTTGTCACTTTCTCTCTTGTTCTTGTTAATTCAGGTTTTTGAAATCTCATCTTTGCAAATTTTTACTCCCCAAGAACTGGATTATTTGCTTTGCGGCCGTAGAGAATTGTGGAAGGTATTTTTTTTTTTTACTTAAATGTATTGCTGCTTCTTACAACAATATGTGAACTGTTACCTTGGATATGCCATAAATTTATTTTGTTTTCTGCAGACTGAGACACTTGCTGATCATATAAAATTTGACCATGGTTATACTGCCAAGAGCCCAGCCATAGTTAATGTATGATTCTTGTTCCTGTTGGACAATTGTGTTATTGGAAAAAAATATAGGCTTTGTTATATTTTAAGCTCATTCTGTATGATGCTATTTTCAGTTACTAGAAATCATGGGAGAATTCACACCAGAACAGCAGCGAGCCTTCTGTCAATTTGTTACTGGTGCACCTAGACTTCCATCTGGTGGACTGGCAGTTCTAAATCCAAAACTAACAATTGTGAGGAAGGTATACAACAATAAGTTTTGTTAACTTGCAACCTGTCTGCTAGTTCATTAATTATGCCTTAATGTTATTTTGTATCCGAAATCTTGAATGTTAGAATTGTCTTTATTATGTGAGGTGGGGATGATCCTTTGTTTGGGCTATTAGAAATCTGGTCATTACCAGTGTTATTGCAGCTCTTTCTTAAGTAACATGATGTTTATGGAATCTTTGACGGAATAGTTATGACATGATAAGCAGAAGATTTACTTTGTATAGTTTTCCTCTTTAATCTCGTAGCAGGGAGGGGGGGGCTATACAAAATACAATGCTAATAAGTAATTACATTTACATGTCTTGGTGCAGCTTTCGTCAAGTGCAGCTAATGCTTCATCTAATGGGAACGGGCCTTCAGAATTAGCAGATGATGACTTGCCCAGTGTGATGACGTGTGCAAATTACCTGAAACTTCCTCCTTATTCTACCAAGGTAGAACACTGCAAAGCATTGTTGATTTTATGACCGTGCATGTCAAAGCATCTCTTGGTGCTAATCTTTGATTTCCATTTTAAAACAGGAAATTATGTACAAGAAGCTACTCTATGCAATCAATGAAGGCCAGGGATCCTTTGATTTATCATGACCTTCCGGAACTAACCTACCCGACCCTGCATGTTAATATGGCAAACCAGGGTTAATCTCGAGGCTTAATTATTTTTTTGGTTGCGTGTACTTTCCTCCTTGCTTCTCAAATAATGGCTTCAGTTGGGTCACGCACGTCAAAGGTGGGAATGGTTTGGGTGAGTTTACCATTGTGAAACCTTACGATTGATTCTTTATATTATTACCAGATCAATCATATTTTAAAGCAATTTAACCAAGAGCCTCTTACCGTTTTGCTCGTTGTCATTTGTTCATAATCTAATTCGTCTGAATTCCTTGATTACTGGCAGTTGAATTGGATTGCCTCATTTTCAAGGTGTAAAGGGATTTGCGGAGCTCGTTTTAGCTGTTCAACATGTAAATAGAATAGGAATATTGAGTAATTACCCTCCTAAATTTTTCATCATTCTGTTTCCAAGTCAAAATTATTGGCAGCTAGTTATATACATGTATGGAAGATGGTAAAAGGAATAGAAATATCAAATACTATGCTTTATGATTTGACATTTTCCGTTAGATCTCCTGTTCGGTGCATCATAGTGCTAAAATACCAATGATTCTAAGATGTTTGGTATGATTGTCCCAGAAAAAGGCATTCTTACAATAAATAAATATCAGTTACTAGCCACGTTATATTACCCATAGTGTAAACTCCAACACAGGTAGAAAAACGATATTTTTTGTTTTGGCTAAAGAATGTGGGAGACATCTCAACGTAAACACAAATAAGCACGAATTCTATTCTATATCGGGTTTCGGCTTTTGCGTACTGAGATTGTGTATATAGGGAGACTGTATATGCGTTTTGTAGCATTTTAAGTTACGAAATAGTAACCCGTACGAAATGCTTGATAACCATCAGTAGGGTTGGCTCTGTCCTAGGCAACATGGACACTTTGTATTACTTTAAAATTTTCAACTTCGTTCTTAGTCGTTTGAGTAATTTGAACAAACTTGGATATAAGATTCGTCATCATATATAATTATATTTTGTATAACTTCTTTTTTATCATCTTGTTCTAACAACTAAAATTCTCTTGGTGCCTTTTTTTTTGCTAAATTCGGCACTTGTAGTATAAAAAGATCAATAACACACAAACATGGTATGGACTTTTACTTTTTAGTTTCCACAACAAAAGTTAATGAAAAGTAATTATTTTCTCGAATGGTATATGTATAATTCAGCAGGGAATTTAAATTTGATGATATAACTTTTTTTCCTATGTAAACAAGTCAATCTTCGAAGTTATTGTGCAAAGAAATTACATTGAAATAATTTATAATTAGTTTCTAAAATGGGTAATTTTGTGTATATTTCAAAAGTTATCCCATAATGTCTGCTTAAAAAGAAGTGTTCGAGGGTTAAGATTATTTACAAATGCATGTTTCAGAGAAAAATGTCAGTAAATTTTGAAACTTTGAAAGATTAGAATAGCACAACTTGTAACTTTTAAGGATCATAGTTATCATGATTTTGGCGTTTGTTTGTTTGTTTATTAGTTTATCATGCTATATGATAAACTAAGAAAAAAAATAGTTTGACAATTAAACTTATAAAATTCATGTTTTTATTTTTTTTTCTATTTCGGGTTAATTTAAGGTTTGTTTGATTCAATAATGATTCTTAAAGTCATACAAATTTACATGGCATGTCAGTAAGATAAAAGTATTCATAATAAGTATTTAAATAAATAACAATTTAACCCTAATTTTACATACTAATCCTCGCTTACTTAATTACTTATGAATAAAAAGTAAAAAAACAAAAATACTTCTTTAAATTGGTTTTGCCACTATTTTTTATCCACTTTATATAGTCTTAGCTGATAACTCAAATGAATAATTTTCTGAGTTTGTTTACACAAGTTATCTGTACTTATCGTTTTTTGGGTTAATTGTGGAGTCCAATTTTAACGAGATAGACATAAATATTATTTTCGTGGAAAATTTGATGACGAAGATGAATTCTTAAAAAGATAGTGAGTTTTGAGTTAAGTTTTAGGAGTTTAGTTTAAATTGGGTCAGACAGCACTTAACTTTTAATTAACTTTTCTGGTTCAATTTTTTGTGTAATAAAGCATTAATCAATGAATAAACCGCATTTGGTCTTAACCTGCCAGTTAATAGTTTTCACATATTTTGGTCCAATTCTTAAATGGAAGAAGATAATCATTGCATTTTAGTTGCTTTGATCAACTTAGAAATGATAGTTGACAAATCTCAACCTCATTATTACTGTTTTTAAAAGCATAATAAATTACTTCTTTGGGACTAACCATTTTGGACATCTTATATGATATGATAGAATATTCGTACCGCATGAACAAGTAAGAACTCTGGATAAAAGCTTAATCCTATCGAACTTGTATTAAATGTTTCTCTACATTTTTAATGTAATCAGAACAAAATTTTTTAATGTAGTCAGAACAAACAAAAATGCTGTTTGTGAAGAAAGGACACTGATTTGAGGTATCCTGTGACTTACTATAAAACAAAAGAAAAGAAAACAAAGTGAAATCTGAGTTTATGAACTGCATTTCAGCAATCAGATAACTAACGCAAACTCAGCTCTAACTGTCCTAGAAACAGGTTTCTATAAGTCACACTTCACTTGAATTGCAAGAGTCTTCGACACGTCTGGGCAAGGATCTTTTCCCTTGGTGAAGGTTGAGGCTTCAAGTGGAATGGAGCATGACTGTTTTCCCACGCATTGCTGAACAAAGTCAAACAAGCAAAAAACAAAAAGGTTGAGCTGCATGTTTGAGGAGTTTGCAAAGATAAAAACAGTGTTAGTTGGTATTTTGCAAAGAAAGAAACGAGAGGTTTGCCTGTTCAACAATCTGCTTGGTGGCAGAGGCATCACATTTTCCCATAACAAACTCTCCACAGACACCCGTGGGATCACCAAAGCTTGCAAACTCCACAGTCTTAATGGTTTTGTAGGTTGGACATGTGACTGTAGCTGTTGGCTTCGGATTTTCCACAACAGTCTGGAACTTGCCACCCTTAGATGCCCAGGAATTGACGTTGGGAGGGTGATTCTCTGTGATAATACTGCATATTGTATCTCTGTCAACCGTTTGAATCTCTATCTGACTTGGGTCTGATGGCTCTTCCTCAAATATCACAAGGAGATTGTCTTTTTGATTTAAGTAAGTCCTTGGGATGTGGTACCTGATGCAACATAAGTAGCAAATTTGAGATGGCCAAAACAAAAGTTAAAAAAACAAGGATAATGAATAACTCTGAGTTGGTTCGTTTTCTTGGACAGATATTTGTTTTTCAGTGATTTACTTACTCTGACTGAGTAGGGCTTCCAAGGGGAGAGAGGAAACTCATCCAATGACGACCAATGCTTTTACCATTGATCCAAATCATTCCCTTCCCCATACCAGTCATCTTTATGGCTACAGGATCCCTTCCCTCTGGTGTTGTAAAAGTTGTCTGTAAAAAAATTCAAACATGGGTCCCCTAGAAAGAGCTTGCAAAATTTTAATCCATTAACTATTACCTTGTACCACGAGAGAGACTTTCCATTTCCCTTGGCCTCTTTCCATTCTACTTTCTTTGATCCCTCCTCAGTGAAAACGGCGTACTCCTCTCCTTGGATTCCAACCTGCAAAACGCCACCAATTCAGCTGTGCAATCTCACCTGTTCAACTGTTATTTAAACATATTGGTTGATCAATTAATAATACCTTAGTGCCCCAACCATTAGAAGTCAGATCAATTTTTCCTGAGTTAAGACCAAGGATGAGTATAGACTTCGGTCCAGCATACCTGTGCTCCATGTATGCACCACTGTCCTGTATATATTAAAGGGGATACAAAAATATGATGACATTGAAACATTGAAACATTGAAACAAACAAGTGGTGAACATAGGTGAGAAGGAAAAAGTTGAGCCTCTTACAGGGAGTCCAATAGTGGTAGCCAAGATAGCTATGTTGTTAACTCCAACCTTAAAGTTTACAGCTTTCTGGAATTCAAAACCTTTCTCTTCATGGGTACCATGATTTGTTCCTTAAAACCATCAAGACAGATAGTTAGCCAAATGTGAACAACCCTCATGAGTTTTTCTTAGAGAATAGAATACTATACACTTTGCAAGGCATGAAGAAATCCAAATACATTGGACTCGATCCACTTCCCTCTTTTATGGAGAATGATCATTGGTCAAGTTTCTGCGTTCTTACCAATAAATTCTCCATTTACAAAGGTATGCAGTGAATGGCCAAGACTCAAAATACGAATAACGGTGGATACGTCACTCTTCTTTGGCAAGTCTTCCGGACCCAATTCCACGCTGCATTAAATGTATAAAAGGGTCTCATACAACAGTTGTATAGAATACCAACGCAGGGATGATGAGATTGACGAAATATCAGGGTGAAATCTTATGCATGGGATAATAAATAAGGGAAATTGTTTCTGACAGGAACTCACCTGGTGGTGTACCATGCATAGTCTGTGGTGTCTTTAAGCAAGCTATAAAGTTCAGCGGGGACATTTCCACTAACTGGTATATCCTTGGCGACTGGAATGGTTTCAGTAAACACCTCCCACTTGAAATTGTTTGCATTTTTTGACCTCTTGAAGTTCCTTGAATTATGTTGTGAAGCAACCTGATTGAGGAGGCAATGTGAATTAAATACAGGGACTAATCAAGAAGCAAATCAAAAATTTCAAAGCCTTGTAAAAAGAAAGGGTAAAAGAAGCTACATTTTGGGTGTTGAAGACCACAGTCTTGCAGTCAGGGAGGATACTAATGGAACGTGGTGGCAGAAAATAGTTCGTTTCTCTGAACTTTATGGTGGCTGAATTTTTGGTGTGGTTGTTAGTGATGAAAGCAGTACATAAGTGACTCTCTTTCTTCTCGAAAACTATAATCTGCGTAATTTAAACTTGCAGCATTATGGTTGTAGTTCAAAAAACTTGCAAACTTGAAGGCTGGTGAGATGATATGCTGACCTCATGATGCTGGTTAACTTTTGTGGTCGTCGATTCAGCACCGAACAGGGACTGTCTGCATAGGGTCAATGCCTTGTGCACGTCTCTCAGGTGACTCCATTTTGGGTCTCTCTGCAAACCGAACTCATCAAGAGGGGCTTCATCGTAATATCGGGTTGTACTGAAGGCAGAGCTTGTTCTACCAAAATTTGTTCCACCATAGTACTACACACAAGTTTCAGATTGAGTTGAGTGAGAAGACAAACTCTCTATCCATAACTTCGTTTCTTAAAACAAATTTGCTAGCTGGCTAGCTATATATATAGCATCATAAGGTTTTCATTACCATATAGTAGTTCATCAAAGAGCCCCTCTTAGAGAAGAAACGGGCAACTGAGAAGGCAATGTCTTCTGCTGATCTTTGCGATGGTGGATCTCCAAACACCCTATACCTGTAGTTTCAATTGGGTTATTTGATGTTCACGAAACATTACAAAAATACTTACTTACAATGTTGATCAGCAATGAATATACTTACTGAGCAGTCCAGTTTTCAGTCCACAGGACAGGCTTGTCGGGTTTGTTAGGGCCTGTAAAGGTATCACCACAGTGTCTTCCATTGCATGCATTTACCTGGAAATTCACGCAAAATCTAATTTAACTCTATAAAACCGATTTATGAGATAAGTTTTGCGTGTAAAATCTAATTTAATCTTGTAAGACTGACTTGTAAGATATGTTTTGCATGCAAAATCTAATTTTTCCCAACCGTTTGGAATATGTATACACGATTCCATGAACTTACCACTGGATCAGGAGCGTCCGTTTGTTTGCACATGATCCATGGAACTCCAACATCCAGTGCAAGTGCCAAATTTGCAGCCCATTGGACGTACTTATCTCCGTCCTCTCTAAAAGCGCGTTGGATATGGTTGTACTCATTCTCGATCTGTATTATAAATCAAATGCTGTGAACATTACTTTGCTTATACTATATCTTGTGAAGTAATTAGCGTTGGGAGATTTTTTATTATGTTGATAATATTCAGAACCTGTGCCAAGATGATGGGGCCTCCTTGGGGAGCGAAGAGCTTCGCTTCTTTACATAATTTTATAACAGTTTTTGTATATTCTTTCATGTATTTCTGCAAATTAGAAATCATTTTAATAATCTTCAACTATATTACCAGGAACTCGAACCTCACGTAAGGTTGATTCATACCTTAAAGGCTTCATTGTTTGAACGGAATATGATATCAGGAACCTCTCTTAGCCAATACGGAAGTCCTCTGATGCATCATCAACAATGAAGGAAATTAATTATCATCATATGAGACAGCGACGAACAGGTATTATTTGTAGCTCAGAACATGCATTTCATTTCAGAATTTTAAATTCAATAAATAGCATACCCGTGATTCCATTCGGCTTGGATGAAAGGTCCAACCCTGAGGGTAACATACATTCCTTTGTCATGACAGAGCTGCATGAACTTCACGAAATCATACTCCGGATCCACTTTGAACTGCAAAATCAGAGAACAAACCACCATTTAGACCAGCTGAAATATTCATTAACGATTCGTGTATGCAGCTAGTAGTTCGATCTAGTTCCAGAAACAATTTTACCTTGCCATGTACAGGCTCATGAACGTTCCAGAAGATGTATGTTTGAATCACGTTTATACCTCCACGTCTAGCTTTGTCAATAATCTGTGGCCACATCTGAAAACGTACACCCAACAAAACCATTTATTTGTTCATCTATACCGAGAAATTGTTGCATGGTTTGGAATCCTCACGTTCACACGTAGCATGGAGTTGAATATTTTATATTACAACAAAAATTAATTAATAAAGTTCAACTGCATGTTACGTAGAGATTCACTGAGATCATATAGCATGCATTCAGTACAACAATTTCTGCATGTTACGTGATGAAGAAGGTACCTCAGGGGGACTTCGAGTGTAATGGACGGAACCGGAGAAGAGAAGCTCCCGTTTTCCATTGATGATGAGCGACCTTCTATCGTATGTGACTTCCTTATTCTTATTCTTCTCTGCGCTGGTAACAGTGATGAAAAGCAAGGTAATCAAAGCAAGTTTGATTGTCGACATGTTGAGATTGTGTGAGGGCAAATAACTCGAAATTGATTAATCAGATGGTGTAGTTGTTCTGAAACTGTTTCCACAATTCCATCAGCCACACTTACGTAGTGAAACAACAGACAACACATGATGTTGTATATAAGGTGTTGGAGGAAACCTCGGTTTCCTTTGTCAAATTTCTGTTAGGAATCATTGGTCATGGTTAAGCTTTGTCTACGTGTCGCTTAAATATGTTGCTTTCTCCTTCTTTCGCTGCTAGCTACATAGTATTTTTCTTTGTAAACTATACTATTATTGTTTTGCCTGTTATTTTTGGAACGTGTATATATACATATATATCACATGTTTATCTTCCCCATGCATTGCTTTGAATTCTTTGCGGTGTTCATGGTCCATTGCACACTCTACTTTCCTTTTTGAAAATGTTTGACATACACTTGCAGTTCATGTACACCACTTCCACGTGGCAGTATGTGTGGCATTGCTGTACAGGTGGCAATATTTTAACTTAATATCTTGTGGATTTTAAGAAACTATGTAATGACTTATGCTTAGAAGACATTTATAAAGTTTGGATGGTTATTATATATTTATATTTATGCATCCTATTAAAAAGATAACAGGAAATCGATCAGCATCAATAAGATTTTTTTATCAAAAAATTATTTTAAGATTTTAATTCCTTTTATTATTAGTAAGAATTAAAGATGTATTAAGAACTTTACAATAATTCAGAAGTATCTTACAGAACTAATATTGAGTTACACTTGTTATAAATTGGAATATACTCTCTTTATTTTGTTGGAATTGTAACAACTCTTCTAATTATAACATATAATTTACAATATGATGTAATTTATTCCATTTAAAAAATTCGAAGTATTTTAAAAAAATATGTATAAAATTTATTACCTTCTCATGTATTAAATAGAATCAAATCCATGCATTTTTAAAGTTAGAAGATTAAATTGGACTAAAATTTCAAAGAAAGATTAATTCTAATTTTAATGAAAGTTAATGAATCAAAAATATATTTTACCCTATTAAAACCCATGATACGAACAAAAACCAAAGAAATTTCTATTTAAGATTGTTAATATAAAATATAAAATTAGGTTGTATAATCGTAGTTGTATTATAAAATTTATATTTCGAAATGTACAATAGAAATAGGATAAATTTTAGGTATTAAATTGTAGAATTCAAAACAAACAAATATAACATTTTAGCTAGAGTGTGTAATCCGAGATCTACAAATTACATAATTCAAAATTAAAATTAAAAAAATGAAAAATAACTCATCCATAAGAAATGCACCAGTACCACTCCCACCACCAACTGCCACCAAAACGCACACCAGTACCTTCACACCAAACCAAAAACAAAAAAGCAAACCAAACACAGTCTTAGGGGTGCAGAAAGAAAAAACGGAGGTGCAGATAGCATTGGCCTTGCGAACTTGCGGTCAAAGTGGTTTTTGTCAGCACACGTTCATATGTTTCCTGAAGAAGCAGCAAATTAAAATAAAAAAAAGAAAAGAAAAGAAAAGAGTAGAATTGTTTGAAGAAAGAACCAAACTTTGGAATATGAACGAAAATTGAATAAGACCCATACATCGTGGTGGTCGCTTAAAATCAGGTGGTGGAAGGTTGATTGACATAGGTTTAGGTGTAGATTAGATACTCATAAATTACTATCTATAGGCAAATTCAACATAAAAATTCCAAGAGATACGTGCCGTGTGTTACACACAGAGACGAATATATATAATCGGTTGACTTGATTCATGCAAACGATTATTGATGCTTAATCTTTTAACTTTGATTAATAAAAAAAATATACTTTTACATAAA